ATAAAATATAATTTTTATTTCAGAAAGCAATTTCTTGGTTACCAAAAATATTTACTAGTAATGAGAAAATTGTTTCATAAATAAATTAAATGCCTGCTAGGGCCTGCCTCTCTAGTCTCTAATAAATCTAGAACCCTTGGATAGTTATATCTTTGGGTAGATCAATGGGTGCATCCAGAAGCACGACCGCTCACTGAGCGCTCAGTGAGCTCTTGCATCTGATTGGCATTTCCATTAGATCGAAAAATATAGACCAAACAGATACAAAAGCTCAATGAGCGCTCAATGAGCGGTCGTGCTTCTGGATGCACCTAATGAGAGCCAACCATAATCGATATCATTAAAAAGAAGATCGATGTACCGATTAATCGAATTTTGAAATATCGAATCAAGCATCAATTATTGAGCGGAAAAAACTCCGATTTTTGTATAATCGATGGAACATCGCCCATCCCTACACTAGAGCACTCCAGAGTTATCTAGGCGTAATTCCTGAACGCACCCCACCTTGCGTATATTGTAACATCAAATTTGAAGATATTAACGGTTGGAATTTTATTCTATTGACATCAACTGGAATGTGATGTATGTAATAACGTATATGTTGAAAATATAGTTGATGTTTTGAAAAAAATTATTTAGTATCAATAACTTATTAAAATGCGCATGAAATGAATTAATAAAAATTTGTAATATGGTTCCAATAAAATTAGGACTGAAGGGGTTAAAAAAAGTTCGAGCACACTGCGCCATCATTGTCGTATTCAACTTTCTTTGTGTATGACGATATCTGGCTGTTGTTATATTGGCGATGATACATATTCTCATACAGCATTACGAATTCTTTCGACTGATTATTAGCCATAATACTATAGTAACAAATCATATATATTACAGAACAATAATGAATAAAAACAACGGCGGATTTCCACTTCAATCAATGGGAACTAAATCATGGTTTCTACATAAAGATTCTACTGAAGGTATCGTAAGTTCCGGAAATAGGAAGCCAAATTCGACTGCTCAACGTATAATTTTTTCTACAATGGATACGATTAACCATATACTGATTGTATTGGTGACGTTATATGTTGTATATCACGCAGCAAAGGAATATTCCGTAACAAATGTACATGTAATCCTCTGCACTATCGGTGTAAGTATTCTATGCCTATGTAGTACACATTTAATCTCCATTCTCGTTTTTTATTAATTTTAAAGTCCTACATATCCTTGATAGAAATATAAATAGTTTTAGACAATTATCCAGTTACTGTCTAGTATTACTATATTTTCATTAGATGTAATAATATTGTGTAGGAAGTACACAACCATTTGATAGAGTTTTATTTAATAACTAAAGCAGGTTTTCCTCTAAAAATATATGCAAATTGCGTAGACACCAGCCCAGTTATTGTGTAAATTAACTAATAGGTATCTATGTCTAACTAATAGATGTCTAATTAACTAATAGATTACTATTAAATACAGTTTGGTCCATTTAATGTCCTGTTTTTGTTCAGTAAATTATAAATAAAAGATTCAAATTTTGCTCATCTTTTATGCGCAGTGACTGCAGGCGAAACATTGCATCTTGAATGGGATTCTAATTAGTTTTACTTCTCAGTTACTAGACTGAAACAACCGTAAACTTTATTCGCGAATTAGCTCGTTGAAAGGTTTCGGGAATAAGATTTGATTCGTGACGGAGGGGGGGAGGAGGCAAGAGGGAGAAAGAAATTGATTGATTGACTAATTGAGCGTTTATTTCAGTTCTAGGGTAAATCCTTTAAGAACTATTCAACAATATAGTTTACAATAGTAGTAACAACAACAAAAATAACGATTATAAACTGTAACAATAACATAAAATAAGAGATAATTAATAGTTATGATAATAGCAATAATAATAATAATAATAATAATAAAGAATAATAATAATAGTAGAGAGTGATTATAAAGATAATAATAAAGGTAAAAAGAAAAGAAAAGAATAGAGAAAGAAGTTAAAGTACTCGATCAGTCCTGTCGAGTTTTCACACGACGCGACGCCTCAGATGACAGAAGAGAGCATGGCGAAAAGAAGTGAGGGACTCAGATTCTCTGACCGCTCTAGGTAGAGAATTCCAGAGCAAGGAGGCTGCGTATGCAAAAGAGTGCTGATAAGCTGATGTTCTGCAGTTCGGTACCACGGGATCGAGAGGGGAGACACGAGATGTGTCACGAGGTCTCGAATAGAACTTCAGCCCATCAGCAAGATACAATGGAGTACCTGTCTTTAGAATCGAGTACCAGGTATGTAAATATATGAAACCGGAATTTTTTAATAGAAAATACACGTTTACTGCATGAAAATGATAAAAAATATTTTATGCGAAATATTACCCATCGCTAGCTGTACATTTTTTCCACCTGTCTGATAATTTGTGGATGCCACGCCAAAAAAATGTTGCTCTTTTGAGCCAAACCAGTCATCTAGCCATTTTCGTACATCTTAGTAAGAAGTGAAGCGCTGCTGAGCAAGTGCGTGTCTCATTGATGCAAATAAGTAGTAATCGGACGGAGCCAAGTCCGGTGAGTAAGCCGCATGCGAAAGTATTT